CTAAAAGAGGTCTTCCTGGGATGTGGGGAACAGATAGTTCTCATGTACTCACACTGAAAAGATGAGAAATAATTTCATTTTCTCAGCAGTTATTGTGGAAATCACGGACTGCCCACTATAAGTGGCTTGAGAGAAGAAATGAGAAAGCTCTGCAATTTATTTATGCTTTATTTTGTATATTGTCCTCCTTCCTTCCTTTAAAATATCCACCTACTTCCAAGTGTGCTGCTTGTGGTTCTATGAGCTGAATGGGGACACCAGCCTTGGGAACTTGACTTTTTTCTCTCTTATACTGACTTAAAGCGGTGTCACTGCTTGGTAGATGAAAATTGACTTTCTTAGCTTTATTGACAGATGCCATTAAGCATTTCCATTGGAAGACATAAAGCCGCTGAACTGCTTATATATTCAATATGGTCAAAGCTAATTATACAGTTGCATTTGAGTTTGTTCTCCTGGGCTTCACAACCCGGGAGGACCTGCAGGTGACGTGCTTTGTCTTATTCCTCGCCATTTACGTGGTCACTCTGATAGGAAATCTGGGAGTAATTATCTTAATCAGGATCGATTCGTGCCTACACACCCCCATGTATTTCTTCCTAAGCCACTTGTCTCTCCTGGATGTCTGCTACTCCTCCACCATCATCCCTCAAACCCTGTTGAATTTTTTAGTGGAGAAGAAGGTCATCTCCTTCGTTAGGTGTGCCACCCAGCTCTTCTCCTTTGCAGCCTGTTCCACCACCGAGTGCTACGTGCTGGCTGCCATGGCCTATGATCGCTATGTGGCTGTTTGTAACCCCTTGCTCTACTCTGTGGTCATGTCCCAGAGGCTTTGTGTTGGGATGTTGGCTGGTGCCTACTTAGCTGGTGTGATCAGCTCCACCATACACACGGTTTCTATATTTAGTCTCCCATTCTGCCGCTCCAAGAGGATCAATCACTTTTTCTGTGATGGACCACCGCTGCTAGCCCTCTCTTGCTCTGACACCCGTGTCAACGAGGTGATGCTTTCTGCCATGGTGGGGTTCAACGTGCTGAGCGCCACTGTCTTCATCGTGATGTCCTACTCATTGGTCCTCTCCACTGTCTTGAGGCTCCGCTCCGTGGCCAGTCGGTACAAAGCCTTCTCCACCTGTGCCTCTCACTTGGTCTCCATCGCTTTGTACTATGGCAGCTCCCTCTTTGTGTACCTGCACCCTGGCACCTTGGGCGGCAGACAGTCCTTGGAGCACAACAAGGTGGGCTCTGTGCTCTACTCTGTTGCGGTTCCCATGCTGAACCCACTCATCTACAGCCTGAGAAACACAGACATGAAGAACGCCATGAGGAAAGCAAAAAGTAGAGTCTTCTCCTCTTTGTCCATCCACGGTTCCTGGTCAACTGAAAGGTGGGGGCAACCCTGTCATGGTGAGGAGGGTTAGATACGGCACCTTCAAGAAGCAGGGTTAGATATGGCACCTTCAAGAAGCTGGGACTAAATGCACCTGGAAGCAGGACACCTGGAAAACATGTTTCTCCTTGAACCAAGGCTACCTGCTGTGCTAGAAAGGATAGGACTTTCCCCTGAGACTTGATAGTGACTGTGTATTGGGCAGAAAGTTGTCATCCACAGTAAATGTTATTTAAATATGGCTTAAAATAAGTATTGTTTATTATTTACATATTATAAAAATAATTATCAACATTTTCAGGCTTCAAAGAGAAAAAAAGAGACTGCTTCGCCCTGCCAAAAGGGGAAAAAAACAAGGAAAACCCTGTGTCTGGTCTCTCATGTTTTACATTAATGAACATCCTCTGGTGATGTCCCTGTCATTAGGAGCTTGTTAATTAAATTTTCCAGGAGTTTTAGGTCTACACCATGAAGTGAGGTCCTGTGAAACAACACTGTGACAGTGTGATGGTCATGGAAGTGCTCATGGTAAATGGGGACAGGTCATATTTGAGCCTCTAGAACCATAGAATCATGGAATAGTTCAGGTTGGAAGGGGCCTTAAAGCCTCTAGAACCATAGAATCATGGAATAGTTCGGGTTGGAAGGGGCCTTAAAGGTTCCATTGAGTTCCAACCCCCCAGTCCTGGGCAGGGACACCTCCCACCACACCAGGTTGCTCCAAGCCCCCTCCAACCTGGCCTTGAACCCCTCCAGGGATGGGGCAGCCACAGCTTCTTGAGGCACCCTGGGCCAGGGTCTCACCACCCTCACAGCAAAGAATTTCCCTGAAACAAATGGACCATCCATTGTATGAATGGTTTGAGTGTGACCATGGGCAGTCCTCTCCAAATATTAGGCTCTCACCACCCTCACAGCAAAGAATTTCCCTGAAACAAATGGACCATCCATTGTACGAATGGTTTGAGTGTGACCATGGGGAGTCCCCTCCAAATATTTTTTCCATAGATTCTGCTGTTGACTACACAATGGTTTGCTTAAAAGAATCATTTTCCACTCTTTCTTTGAAGATACAACAGAATTGACAGGCAGTGAGCAACCTGGTCTGGTGGGAGGTGTCCCCCCATCATGGAACTGAATGATCTTTAAGGTCCCTTCCAACCTAAACCATTCAATGAACTATGATTCTATGTTTTTTTCATCCCTCAACACAACACTAGCTCATTCTTCAGATCTCCTTGTTGGTAGTAAATTGCTCTTTTTTTCAATACAGACCTTTGCCATAGTTGGATAAATAAAAAGCAAACTGCCCTGGACTTGTCCTTCTGCGAGGCCAGGTGGTGGCATGGGCAGGTCCCTGCAGGTGAGCTGCTCTGGAGGTGTTGGGGCAGCCAGGGAATTGAAAGGATCTTTTGATGAGCAGGTTGAAATAATACCAGCTGGAGGAGGGTCCTGAGGGAGAGCGGTTTGTACAGACACCCAGGATAAAACCCATCTGCCAGCCTGGGCGACCTGCTCCTGAGCATCTCCCCTCCCACCAGGACTTCTACCCATTGGCTGAGCATCTCAAGGAGCTGCAGGCATCACGTCTACCCACACCTTTCAGCCAAGCAGGTAAAGAGGGGTTGGAGGTTTCCTGTGGGTGACCCTTGTCGTGGTGCCTCTCCCGTGCTTGAAAGATTCTCGAGGTGCTGGGGGTACAAGGAGACTCATCCTGGTGCTTCACCACTCTCCCCGTTAGACCTGAACCCGTGACAAATCCCACACTTCACTTCTGCTGTGACTTGGCTGATTTCTCTCTTTAGCTGTTTGTGCACCTCATACTGCAAAAAAATACACAACAGAAAAATGGGCATTAGCCCCTTTTTGTGGCAGCTGGACTTGACATAATAAGTTACAGGGAACAGATTTTTTTTTATTTATTTCATGTTACAGTAGTATTTTTTTAAATTTCTGCATTGAAATGATCAATTGGCAAACTTAAACTGAAAAAACCCCAAGCTAATTAATGCTGCTGTTTTATTCACATGGCTGAATCGTCCTGCATTTCTGCTGAGATGAAAGAAAATTCATAGTGATGCTTTTTGTCATGGGTTGGGTTGATGGTTGGACTCAATGATCCAATCTGGACAATTCTATGTTTCTATGAATAAAAGCTTCTGCTCTGTGAAGTCCTGCAGCACGGGCTCATGCTCGTGAGCGGCTCCGTCTGCATTTGGTGAGATTTTAAAATGTTTTTATTATTGAAAATAGTTTATTTAATATTTAAATATTTTAAAATATTTAACACATTCTTAACCTTGAAGCTGTTTTAAGAGATGATTGTCCTCTCCAGGGCTGGAAGTTCACACAGGAGCTGGTTACCACTGGGATGGAAACAGGCACCTCTAGGACACAATCATTTTAATGATGAAATTGCTGTTGATAAAACGGGAGCTTCAAGGGTACAAGTCCTCCAGCCGGAGCTACAATTCCTTCTCCATCACCAAGCAACGTTGACCGAGAAGATCTGAGGTTGGTAGAGTAAAATGAGTGGTGTTGGGACTTAATTACACTCCTGCCCTCGCTTGATCCTTTTGTATTTTATTAATTCACCTTAAACCGGGGGATCGGTTGCTGTTTTGTGGCTGGGATGTACTAGTGCATCTACGACTAAAGGAAGCCCATCCGTGCTCTCCAAGAGCATCCATGGCATGAATCCAAGTGCCCAAACAGAGTCTAAGAGGTGTGCTTGGAAACCACGCTCCTGACCCCATCTACAACTGATCTAGGGAGGTTTTAGCTGGGATGGAGACATCTGTAGATGGATCTTCCATCAGAAAATTCATCTGTAGCTGGATCTACCACCAGATAATTCATGTGCAGAGAGGCTGAGTGGGGGAGATGGGAATATCCAAGCTGAAGCTTTAAAAGGTTTGGTTTATATATAATATTTTAACACTATTACGTGGATATTTGGGTTGGTCATAGGCGGCTCACCGCAATCACAGCAGAGCTGGCCCAGAGGCAATACCACTGCTCCAGCCCAACCCTCACACACAGGCATTTTTCCTCAAAAGCAGAAAAACATAGAAATTAAAAATAAAAACCCAAACAATTTTGAGTGCACGGGTTTTTTTCATGATTAAAAGGCTGCACCAAAACTAATGAAGCCACAGAAAAGCACTGGTCCAGTCTGAAAAAAAAAAAAAAAAAAGACAACAAAAGAAAGGAAAAAAAAATCTTCAAAGTTTCAATAAATCAGTGGTGAGAATTTGAACTTTCCACATTTTGGGATGTGTTTATTGGACTTCATTTTTTTACACTTGAATAAACATTTTGATATTTCTTAGTGTATCATTAGTGCAGAATAATTCTCCTTTAATATAAATTACAGCAGAATTATTCTCCTTTAATACCCGACTGTGTCATTGGCTCCTTCCTGTTTCACTTTGATGTTTGGGTTAAAGGCAGAAACACAGTTGCCTTGTATTTTTCTTAAAAAAAATACACCATTTTCTGTTGCATTTACCTTATGGATTAAACTCTGGTGTTTCCACAGTATTTCTCTCTTAGGGATTTATTTCACAGATTCATTTTATTTCTCTACAAATTCATCTAACGTGAAGAAATGACAGAGGGAGGAAACCTCACTGCTTTGTCCGGCTTCATCCTCTTGGGCTTCTCTGATGCCCCAGAGCTACAAACCACCATCTTCACAGTTTTCTTCTCCCTCTATGTGCTAACGGTGCTGGGGAACCTGACGATGATCCTGCTCATCAACGCCGACCCCCAGCTCCACACCCCCATGTATTTCTTCCTGACGCATTTATCTTTCGTAGATTTCTGCCTTTCTTCCACCATCATCCCAAAAGCCCTGGAGATCTTCCTGCTGGGGAGGAGCCACATCTCGTTTTTGGGTTGCTTTGCCCAGATGTACTTTTTCCTTGCTCTGATCATCTGTGAGTGCTTCCTCCTGGGGGTGATGGCTTACGACCGGTACACGGCTGTGTGCCAACCCCTGCTTTACCCCACCACCATGTCCAGGGCGCGTTGCTACGGCATGGTGGTGCTGGTGTACACCATGGGCTTCCTCACCTCCTTGGTGCACACTATCCTGGCAGGGAGGTTGTCCTTCTGCCGGGCCAGGAGCATCCACCACTTCTTCTGTGATCTACCCACCATTCTACAGCTCTCCTGCTCGGACACCCACACCAACGAGGTCCTGCAGGTCTCCAGTGCCGGGTTTAACATCTTGGGCTCTGTCGTGATGATCCTGCTTTCCTACACCTACATTCTCCATGCTATCCTGCAGATCCCTTTGGCCAGGAGAAGGCTCAAAGCTTTCTCTACCTGCGCCTCCCACCTGGTTGCCATCACCATCTTCTATGGGCCAGGGATGGTGGCCTACATCCAACCTCACAAGGCCCACACAGGGGATGGAGCCAAGGTGGTTTCTGTGTGTTACACCCTCCTCACCCCCACCCTCAACCCCCTCATCTACAGCCTGAGGAACAAAGAGGTGAAGGGGGCCCTGAGGAGGCTGCGGGTGAGGAAGCTGGTGCTGCATCTAACCAGGCTTTGAGACAGCTCTTCAGTGGTAACGAAGAAATAAGCATTATTGGTCATTATGTCTGAGATCACACAGCAAGTACAGGGTACAGAGAACGAGCATAATGAACCGTTCTCTGCAAACAACTTCAATTTATTTTAATTGTGGCATGAGCCTTCTTTAATTAATCAGGGTAATTGTTGGCCCTTTCCTTGCAAAACCAAAATGGTACCGTGATGTTTTGTGTCCAAATTGTGTTAAATGAAAACATTGCCAACAAAAAGGATGCGCAAATTAGAGGTAAATAATCACTAATATTTTCATTGCCTGCTTGATAATAATATTTTTTCCCAAATGAACTTGGAGATCTGAGGATCTGGTAAAGCCAGTGATATATGGAGAGCTCCAACATGGCCAGAGGCCATGCTGAGAAGAGGGGTATGTTTATCCACCATAAGTGACCTGGTGAGGGCAGGGTGGAATGTGACCATCCCGGGCAAGGTCCGGGGGTGACCTCAGACTTGATTCCTGACCAACCTATGGAAGAACCATAAAAGGCTCCAAGCCACAGTGTTGGCTCTGGGGACCTGGTCCTTGACTTGTTGTGGGCACACACAGGTCGGCATGTTGCCAGAAGTGTGTCCCAATTAAAAATCTTCTTGGAAAGAATCTTGGTTTTCTTTTGATCTATGACTTTGCTGGCTGATCTACAAGAGGTCCATGCTTTGTGTGGCAACCACTGAGCCTCATTTGACTGAGTTATGACCCTCCCGTACGTCATCGCACGGCTGAGGTAGAAGATGCTCAAAAGAAAGCAGTAGACAAAGGGTTTTTTTTAACATTTAATTGAGACAGACCTTTCATGTTTAATGAACTATACAACTTCTGTAAGAAGGTGTAGCTTGTTTAAGGACGAAGTGAATACATTTTATGTTTTAAAATAAACACCTTTGTGGTCTTCCTAAAAGAACTGTGGTGAAAAATGAATGAATGCGATGGCAACCAGTTAAAACCAGCTTTAAGGTGGTGTGAAGAGAAATGCTATAAAGCTTTTAACCAAAGTTTCTGATGGAGTTTTCATGGAAAGTGGAGGTATTTCCCTGAGAAACAGAGAAGGGACATCTGAGCCATCTTTTTCTGGGTAACTCAGGAGGAGGGATGAGAATCGTTAACACACAGCAAAGGAGCTCATGGCTCCATTCTGCTCTGTCCTTCTGTCCTCTGCACCCAGGGATACACCAGAGAAGGCTGGACATGGTGCAGTAACTGAGTTTAGGGCACTTAGTGGGGAAAAAAACCTAGTTCCCCTCTCCCTGAGACAACAGGGAGTGGAATGATGGTAATTGCCACGGCCAATCTCACCTGGGGTCTCCACCCACACCCTCTGCCCAGGGCTCGGGCACTATTTAAGCTCAGCCCTGGGTCATTAGCTACTTTTAGAGCTGGTCCCAGCCCTGGTTTTGGTTTTCCCCTGGGCTATGGATGGGAGCTGCTGCTCTGCTCAGGAGCTGTAGGACCATCACCTGTGGGTGAATCTATTGCTCACCCTGTTTTGTGGCCACCATCGGCTCCCAGTTTGCCTTTCCTAAGAGAGTAACTGGTCCTCGATACTCCCTGAGCCAGGCTGGATCATGCAAGTAGCGTGAACAAGTCTTAATGTCAGACAAGACCCTCTAGTGTCCAAGCTGAGGATAAAACAAGCTGTTACAAAAGGTAAGTGTTATAAAAATCTCTTTTCTCCTCCTTCCTGTTGCTGACTCTTAAGAAGAAACATCCCCTGCTCAGCTGCATGCTCTGCATAGATTTTATTTAATTCTATATTAGGTATCTACAATGTAGATTTTTACATCTGAGCAAAAAAAAAATATCTTGAATTATTGGTATAACCCCACAGAGTGTGTGCCCACATCATTATCTCTGTGGCCATCTAAAATAAATCATGATAGGAGTATTTATCTTGTATTTTAGCAATGAAAAAAACCCAGTCTCCAGGCTAACTGGGACACAGCCATGTGCAAATGAACATTAAGTGGCAGATGACAACAGGGAGAGTTCTGCAGTCCTCAGGACAGGAAGGACATGGAGCTGCTGGATCTACATTTTTTTGAAATTATTACATTTTTTTGAAAAAAAAAACAAACAAAAAACCCCAACAAAACCCACCCCAAGAGATGAGAAGAAATTATTTGTCAGAGCCCTGTAATGACCAGGTGTTTGTTAATGTGGAGTCTCTGCAGATTTTAGAGCATGGTTAAAATTGGCTGCACCAGCTTCTGTAAATCCATGTGGTTCCTTCCTCCCCCGGACACTGGACCAGAAACAATTGAAAAAGGGAAGAAGTCGGAGTTTTATCAACTAATTGGGGTCGGTTTGGCCAACAGGCACCTCACAAAAACTTTATTTGCCGTGGCCTTCCTAAGTGCCTCCTTGACATCCTTGTTCCTCAGGCTGTAGATGAGAGGGTTGAGCATGGGGACGAGGAGGGTGTAGAAGATGGCGGTGACCTTCTCCATCTCCAGGGAGTACTTGGAGGCCGGTTGCATGTGGCTGAGCCCTGCGGGCACGTAGAACAAGGTGACGGTCAGGAGATGGGAGGCACAGGTGGAGAAGGCTTTGTGCCTCCCTTCGGCTGACCTGATCCTCAGGATGGAGAAAAGGATGTAGAGGTAGGAGATGATGATGATGAAGAGGGCGGACATGGAGATGGTCCCATTGAAGGTGACGAGCAGAAGCTCATTGAGGCGGTCACTGATCCTCAGGATCGAGAAGAGGATGTAGAGGTAGGAGATGATGATGATGAAGAGGGCGGACATGGAGATGGTCCCGTTGAATGTGACGAGCAGAAGCTCGTTGAGGCGGTCGTCGGAGCAGGTGAGTTTCAGCAGGGGGTTGGTGTCGCAGAAGAAATGGTTGATGACGTTGGGGCCACAAAAGGGCAAGGGCAACAAGCAGCACGTTTGGACGAGTGAGTTCAAGACCCCCCCGACATAAGAGCCAGCCACCAGCCGAACGCAGACCTTCTGGGACATGGAGACAGCGTAGACAAGGGGGTTGCAGATGGCGGTGTAGCGGTCGTAGGCCATGACGGCCAGCAAGAACACCTCTGTGGTCACGAAGAGGAGGAAGAAGAAATGCTGGGCGAAGCAGGCGGAGTAAGAAATGGTTTTCTTCTCCAGCCAGAAGCCCACGAGCAGCTTCGGGGAGAAGACGGAGGAGTAGCACAGGTCAACGAGGGACAGATTGCAGAGGAAGAAGTACATGGGGGTGTGGAGCCGGGGGTTTGTCCTGATGAGTGTCATCAGCCCAAGGTTGCCCATCAGGGTGAGGAGATAAATCAGTAAGAAGATGAGGAAGAGAGGAGCCTGCAGCTTTGGCTCCCTGGTCAGGCCCAGGAGGACGAACTGGGTCACCGGGGTGTGGTTGCCTCCAGCCATATCACCCTTCCTCAAACCTGCGGGAAGGAGGAGGAACGGAGTGGAATAGGAAAGAGAAACAAGTGGAATAGGAAAGAGAAACAGCAATTAGTCATTAAAAGCACAAAGCTTTGACTCTTGAGATAACACCTCAGGTTCTCGACAAATCCTCCCAGGCAGAGCAACTCATCCAAAACCTTTCAAAAAAGGTGTGTTTTGTCCTTATTCTCTTTAATCAGGAGGCTGAATTTTTTTTTAAAGGGTTTTTTTCCTTTAAAAAGGTAGGGTTTTTTTCTTCAAAAGAATGGGCCTTTTTCCTTTATTTTTTGTAAAAATGGGCTTTGTCCTTTTTACTTTTAAAATAATGGGCTTTTTTCCTTTTAAAAAACTTAACCCCAGTATTTAATGATTTGAAAACTGGAGAAGGGGGTGAAAGGATTTGCAACCTTCCTCTCTTTCATGAGAAGGGAGAAAAAGGGAAAGGTATTTAATTTCCCCCCCTGAGGGCTTTGTCCTTTTTACTTTTAAAATAATGGACTTTTTTCCTTTTAAAAAACTTAAAACAACCCCAGTATTTAATGATTTGAAAACCGGAGAAGGGGATGAAAGGATTTGCAACCTTCCTCTCATTTCATGAGAAGGGAGAAAAAGGGGAAGGTGTTTAATTTTCCCCCCTGAAAAGACTGAATCCACACAACTCCTGATGACCCTGGGAGCCCCAAATCCATCGTGTCCTCTCGGATGGGCTCTGCCAGAGCCCTGGCTGCCCCCCACCAGCCCCCCAGTGAGCTGGGGGGACAGAAAATCCCATGCTAGAGAGCAAAAATGGGCTGAGCTGCCACATTTCTGCTGATACTCTGTCAGGTCCCAGCACAGAGGGAAATATTCCCCCTCCCCAGGGTGGCAAATCACAGTGAAACGCTTAATTTTTTTTATCTGCTCCAGCTCATTTGTTATTTACTTGTTTTTCCCCACTCAGGGTAGGGAAGGGAGGGGTTTTTCAGGCTGCTCCTCACAATTGTGAGGCTCAAGTATAAACCGAAGGTGGTTTTACGTGTAATAAAAAGCTGTTGGCCGTATCCATGGGAATCTGGGGTGGGGGGGGAATTAAAAATAATTTTCAGCAGGCTCCACAAAGCAGAAAGCCTTCATTTTCAAACCACACACCACCTTGCCCATAGTATTTTTTCTAATCAAACCCCTTCCACTGGCAGTTACTTACTTTTTCTGGCCGAGAGCAGCAGATGTGAGGAATTCAGTGAGCTTTTTTTTGGTATAAATAGTGGAACCGGTTTTAATTAATAATAAAATCGATGGGATAAAGATCAGGGGGAATATTTGTTTGCAATGGGCGATGCCTGGCAGTTTTTTCTCATGCACCAGGACGTGGGGAAATGTGTTATTTTGGCATCATTTTGGGGTTCTGGGGTTCCATTAGTGGCTCCCTCACGTCTGAGCTCGATCCCTGCACTCGGCTTTTCTGGTACCAACCTGGGTTCTCACTTTTATCCCCATAACAGGGAGATTTTTCACTTTACAAATATCTCTGAGGCTCTGATACACCAGGAATAGCTGGGAGGATGTTTCTAGGTTTTGGCTGCTGCTGCTTTTTCCCTTCCAATAAAGGAATGTAGTTTCCTTTAACAACACTCAAACCTCTTTATATATAAAAAAAAAAATCCATGATAGTCCCAGCAGAAGGGCTGGGTGGATCTGAGCTCTCACCTTCTCCCAATGAGGAATAATATTGCAGCAGCAGGGGGTCACTCCAGGTCCTGTGGGGTGTTTTTAGGAAAATCTAAGAAGAATACAAAAATTTGAGCCCTAACACCCCCCTCCTCCCCAGGCTACGGGCCTCGGTGTAGCTCCGTAGCTGTCTGCCCCCATTGGTTTATACACCTTCGGGGTAGAAGAGCAGCTTTTCAGGTATTTTCTAGGTGGTTCTAGCTCAATAAGGTGGTGGCACACACTTGGAGAGGCTGAAGATGGGTCACTCCAGGTCCTGTGGGGTGTTTTTAGAAAAATCTAAGAAGAATACAAAGATTTGAGCACTAACACCCCCTTCGTCCCCAGGCTACGGGTCTCGGTGTAGCTCTGTAGCTGTCTGCCCCCATCAGTTTATACACCTTTGGGGCAGAAGAGCAGCTTTTCAGGTATTTTCTTATTTTCACAATAAGGTGGTGGCACACACTGGGAAAGGCTGAAGATAGTGCCTAGAAATTCAGATTTATGGAACGTATATAGCTTGGGTATATTCTGCTAATGAGCTTTTGCCTTGAATACTGATTCAGGGCATCCTAACTTGAGTTCTTGGGGTTTAATCTTGATCTTGATTTGAATCCTGAGCCTACGGTCCCGTTTTCCTGCGTAATATCATGTCCTTACCCCTCTGCCAGGTGTGTCTCCCTGCGATTCGAGCCCGTCCTAAGGCAGAAAGAAGAAGCCTGGCCCGTTTTCCTCCATTCCTCAGATGCCTCAGGTGCTACAGGAGGAGGGAAGCAGCTTTTCACAGGTGGGATGCTCAGAAGAGAGACCCAGGAAGGTGGCAGCTCCGTCCATGAGGAGCCACGGTGGTGGCACCAGCCTTTAGACCCGAGCGGGTGACGCCACCATCCCCAAGGGTGAGAGCTTCTGGGTTTATTTATTCCTTTGCTCCTCACAGGGGTAAAAAAATCCCTGGAGTAAACCAGAGCAGAGCAAAGAGCTTCCTGCCATCATGGAGGGATTATCAGAAACTCCCAGGAGATTTGGGAAGACGTTTGGACTCAGGTCCTGTCCCTCTTCACAGTGTGAGGCTCAACCTTTCTTTGCTCAGTGCCGATGTGAAGCAGGGGAGAAGTTTTCACCTGGGAAAGGAACCCTTTGAGGTGCTGAATAATGTTTAATGGGATTCTGGGACTTTGTTCTCCTGTTCCAGAATTTATTACCCCCCTGCAGCAGGACAGGTCGGGGCTGACCTGCTGGAGAGCAGCTCTGAGGAAAAAGACCAAGGGAAAAAGGGTTTCAGTTGGGCTTCACTGAGATTTCTATGTTTAATAAGGGAGGGAGGAGGAAGGAGAGAGGGGGAGGGATGTGGTGGGCACTAAAACCATCCCACAGAGCCAGGAAAACTCCACCTGGGTTCCACTCTTCCATCAGGAAAGACAAACCACTGACAGAATGCTTGGAAGTTGCTTAAATTGTCTGAGCGGGTTCTTCCAGCCAGAGGGAAAAAGCTTGTGGCTCAGAGTGACAAGGGGTGACAAAACATCACCCCACACATTGATTGTAAAATCTGGTTTTCTCTGTAACACTTTCTGGGTGCAGGTTCTGCCAGTGAGGTGACGGGATCAGTGACACTGGTGGAGAGCACAGGTGTCCACCTCAAAGCCCACCAGCTCCAGCCGCCCCCCTTTGAAGCATCCAGGCTCCCCCTTCCCAACATCATCTCCAAGTTTAGGGTTTGGAATTACAGTTAAGGCCAGACCCTGCAAAAAGCACCAGATGGGAGGAGCAGATTTGTTATTTTGGGGTGCTCTGCTCTGGGGTGCCCTTCCCATACGTGGGATGAGCTGCAGCCAGGCAGAGGGTTCCACTCGAGAAGCTCCGTGTCTATAAAGCATCCAAAAACCAGTTAATACCAGGATTATAACTCAATTTTTCTAGATTCAGGCCTAGGCTTGACTTGTCAGCTGTCGTCACCAACAGGTTTCCCTCTAAACCTGTGATTTTTTCCTCCAGCAACGAGGTCTAAGCTGCTTCTCCCAGAGAATGAGAAACGCTGAGTTTGTGGATAAATTTTATTTGGAAAAATCAACCCCGGGACATCGCTTCAACAAGACAAAAAGACTACGCAAAACACAGAATAAAATAAAATAAGGAAAAAAAAAAGAGGCACTATCTTTTTTCCTTCTGAGTCTGGGACCTTTCTGTACGTGTACGAGTGGAAGGACACCTCAGGAAATTGGGGAGTGAAGAGGCTTCCGTGTTAGGTTAATTAAAATTTTTCCTTTTAAAACATAAAGCAGAACCAAACAGCAAAATCTAGGCTGGGAGAGCTGCAGTCGCAGCTCAGCTTGAGCACTAAGAGGGGGCCAGAACTTTGCTGGAATGGGGATATTCCATCATTTAATTTTTTTTTTTTAAATAAAGAAAAGTGATGACAATAAGGGGAGGAAGCACCTACACCCGATCCTCACTAAAGGGAGAAGTTCAGCCCGGTATTTCAGGTCTCCCTCCCAAATCCAGCTCGCCTTCCTGGCACCTACCTCTCTGTGGAGGGATGGTGGAGGCAGAAACCTCTTATTTATACCCAAGTTTACTCTCTAAATTTTCCATTTTATTATTTCTTAAAGCAGGGGGAGTGTTTGTGATCAGCACCTCCCTTTAACTCCGCACTCTGGGTATCGCCTCCGCTCCTCATCACATCTCAAACCGTTAAACGCCGCCGTTTAATGCAATTCCCTGGTTCCCCCCCAATTTAAACCCCCTCAGGCTGTGGCTTTTTCCTCTCTCCCAGCCTCCTACGTTAGCGCCGCTGTGAGGGAAGACACTTCTCCAATTCCCTAAGCTACATCCTTGGGAAGCACTTTAGCAACATCCTTCCTAGCACTAACACGCAGGACAGAAAAGACGAGCCTTTTTTATTAGCCTAAAACTCCTGTTTGAGCAGAAAAAAAAACCAAAATCCCAGGGTTTTGTGGTGGTTTTCTTTTTGTGGTCAGACAGTCTGGTTATTTACCCTTCTTGGTCTTTGCGGCGGCGGCGTTGTTGTTGGTTTTGGCTTTCTTCTTGGCTGAGCCCTTGGTCTCTGGCTCTTTGCGCTTGGCGGAGGTGATGGAGCCCGTCACCTTGAAGAAGTCATCCAGGCGGCCCTGGGTGCTGCCCTGCCTGCTCTTGCTCAACCTCTTCACCCCGTTGCGGATCCGCTCTTCGTTGAACTGCTTCTCCCCACACATGAACTGGACGAGCTGCTCTTCGTTGGGCTCGGTCCACTTCAGCTCAACGGCGTCGGGGTCGACCACGTCGGGCTCCAGAAAGAGCTTCTGGGCCTCTTTGTGCAACCAGTTCTCGGGCAGAGGGTATTTCTTGGTGTCGATCTGCTGGACGATCTTCTCGATGCTTTTGTGCTCCTTGATGAGCTCGATGGCTCGCTTGGGCCCGATGCCACGGATGCTCTCGCAGTAGTCACAGCCCAGGAGGATACACAGATCCACAAACTGTTCCCAAGTCAGGTCTAGATCCTGCAGGATCCGGTTCAGGTGAAACTCCTGGATGGGGAGCTTCTTTGTCTCGCTGGCAGTAAGATGCCTCATCAGCACAGGACTGCCGAAGGTCAGGCAATCCATATCTTCTGTGGCTGCTGCGTAGACCTTCCCAGCCTTCACCAAGGTAGCACAGCTGGCTTCAGCCTCCCCCGGCGCCTCCACGTAGGGGATGCCCATCAGGGTTAGTAACTTCTTGCACTCATCGTTGTGCTGCTGGGTCACCTTGACCAGCCTCTTGCTGTACTTCTCAATGTTCTCCTCCTCTCCGGCTTCCTGAGCCTCCTGCAGGTGTTTCTCAGCCTCAGCCCGGCGCTCGGTTCGTTTCGAGAGCTCTCCCGATTTCAGCTGGGGGGGTTTGCCATCGAAGACGTAAACGGGCTTGATGCCGTTCTCTACCATGCGGATGGTCCGGTAGAACATGCCCATCAGGTGGCTGGTGGTCTCGCCCTCCTCGTTCTGCAGGACCTCAGCTCCCTGCCGCACGGCGATGAGGAACTGGTAGATGCTCATGGAGGCATCTATAGCCACCTTCCGGCCAAAGTAAGACTTGATGTCATTCTCCCGGATGGCGCCAGGAGCCACGTCGGCAATAAGCTTGGCCAGGCCATGGATTCCCATCCTGGGGAACAGAAAAGGGGAGGTTGGGATCAGCCTCTGCACATGCACGGTGCCAGGGGGAGATGGGGGTTAAGAGCTGGGCTGTGGGGGTGGGTGGTGTACCACCTAAGCAGGGAGGACAAAAGGGAGGTGGCTGCTTCTCCTGCAAACCATTATCCCATGGGCTACGGCCTCTGCTGGCTGCCATTGCGTGGCTTCCAGCCTCAGCACATCACTAGCCCCCTACCCACTAATACAGGCCCACCTCAGCCTCCCCAGCACACCGCTACCTCCTCTTCTTCCTGCCTCAGGGTCTCCTGACCCACCATTCCCACCCCTCCTCCTCAGGGCCCGCCGTTATCCTCCTATTCTCCTCCTTCACCACTATCCCCCCCCTCTTCCTTTCTACTGAGCCCTCTCCGGGCCCACAAATCCCCACCTCGGCTGCCCCTATACCCCCCAGGCCCCCCTCAGCCTCTCCAGCTGC